TGCGACTGCCGGCTAAAATCCTGGCACCCGTGGTCACAGAAGGGCCTGAAGCCATGGCAAGCTCTCATACCGGCTCCGCAGCCTCGCTTTAGAGGGTCATCCTGAGCGCATCTGCTGCCGGGATCATAGTCCAACGGTTTCGCGCAATCTCCGAAGCACGAGGGCTCTGCCGTTACTATCAGATGTGCCCCAAGGCATGGATGATTTGAAGCGTATCTGGGTTGCCAGCCATTCAGGCTGCTTGCCTGTGCACGGAAGAGCAGGGGGCAGGGCAGTCCTGATTTAAGTTTAGGTGGCGCTCGGCCTAAACCCCACGCCCAAAACCCTTTACAAATCCATACCCCAAAAACACTAACACAAATCTTCAACCCCACCCCCAAAACCCTCTACAAACCCATACTCCAAAAACACAAATTCCAACCCCCACTCCCAAAACCCTGTACAAATCCATACTCCAAAAACACAACTCCTAAACCCCACTCCCAAAACCCTGTACAAATCCATACTCCAAAAACACAACTCCTAAAGCCCACCCCCCAAAACCCTGTACAAATCCATACTGCAAAAACACAACTCCTAAAGCCCACCCCCCAAAACCCTGTACAAATCCATACTCCAAAAACACAACTCCTAAAGCCCACCCCCCAAAACCCTGTACAAATCCATACTCCAAAAACACAACTCCAAAAGCCCACCCCCCAAAACCCTTTACGAATCCATACTCCAAAAACGCCTCCCAAACCCCGAAGCCGAGAAAGAAACTGCATCCGACACCCAAAGCCAGACCCCTGCCTTGAACTCCTCCTTTGGGCTGAGTTTCCCCCAAGAGCCCGGGAACACCTCATATGCAAAATCCTGAAATCACAAAAAACCAACACCCTGAACTCTACCGCCCAAAATTCAAGGGGCTATCGCCCTCTCCTGAACCCTAAACCCCCTTTCCTAAACTACGCTAAACTCCTAAGGCCTCTAGATCGGCTCAGGCCTCCACCCCCTTTCTTCGCCGATTTCCCCTTCGAAGCTCTTCTGGCCTGGTTTAGGGTTTAGGGTTTGTTTTTTTTGAGGCTTTCGGCACTCACACTCGGACAATCCACGCGAGGCATGCGGTCTTGCGTCGGCTGTCTGAAACACGGAGAGGGAAAGAGGGTTTAGGGCTTTGGGGCTGCGACTTGTGCAATGCTTTGGGAACCTGCTGAAAAAAATCGGGGCTTATGATGACCCCCCAAATCTTAGGATCCATACAAAGAGAGCCCTATGGAAGACCCAGGGTTCCTTATGCTGGTTCCTAGATTCCGCGTTCAGGGCGATTTCTGCAGGGTTCGAGGGTTTCGGGGTTAGGGACGGTTAGGGTTTTGACGCTCGGTGAACGGCTCATGTGTGTCATCCCTGAACCCTAAACCGTGAACCCCTTTTTTTTAACCCTAAACCCTAAACCCCTAAACCCTAACCCGTGAATCCCTAAATCCCTAAACCCTAAAAGCGAGGGCCAGCTGATCTTCCCTGCACCGCCTCCCGTAGCCTCTTGATTCAGAACGGTGTAGGGTTTAGGGTTTCGGCTCTCACACTCGGACGGTTTAGGGTTTAGGGTTTAGGGTTGGTTGTAGCAAAAAGGATTGCATGTCTATCAAATCGGATCTCTGTGCAGCCCAACCGCAGCAGCAGTTAAGTGGTTGCATGGCTGGGACAGAAAGACCGGGTTTCTCTGTCTCCGTGTGCTCGACTTCAAACAACAAGCTCAAGAAGCAGCTTTGGCCTGCGAAGCAGTAGAGCCATGCATGTGCATAATCTTGAAAAGATTCTTGTGGAGGATCCTGTTGTTGCAAAAATGCCAAGCTCTGTGCAAGTAATTCAGGTAGAGGCAATGCCTCTTCTCGCCTAGATGGGCAGTTCTCTAAATTAGGGTCCCCTTTTTGAGTCCCCCAAATAGTACGGCACCCTTATCAAAAGGACCCTTAAAGGGACCTTAACTTATTTTTTACTCCTTTTCCTGGGAGAAGACATGCAGAAGACATATCCAAGATGCCCAAGGCAGACCCCGCAAACCCTGGCAGAAGGACTGGGACGCTTCGGGCCGAGATGGCCTGAGCCTCAGGCCTGAGCTAGCCATGGGTTTTTTTCAGTTTAGGCCGTGGCCTCGTGAGCCTTCGAGATAGTTTCTGATATACGGGTGGTAGGAGGGTTTCATAGGTTCTTGGGTCTTTGACGGGTCTTCTTTCACTAAGGAATATACTTCAAATCAAGGTCAGGACCCCCCCCATATACATGAGTTGTGAATTAGTGCATTCCTGACAATTCAGGCGATGTCTGCCCTTAAAGGAGCCCGCAGAGGTTTGGGACCTTGCAAGAACTGTGCAAGCCTTTCGAGACTTCAGCGTCGATTTGAGCTCCTCTGCGTCCATCTTCAGCTCCCTCTGCACGTCCTGGAGGCTGCGTAGTGGATGAGGTCTAGCGCTAGTTTCATCCAACATTCCCTCTCACGTAGACCAAGCCACATTCTACCAAAACTGCCGACACCGCACCCGAGAACCGGGAAGGCTGAAGCTTTGCAGGTGGTTGCCTTCAGAAGCGGGCTAGCGGCTAGCTGAATGATTGGAGCCGCCCTAGACCTCCCCACAGGCGCTCCGCGAAATCTTCGCCCGACTGGATCCGGCTGAACATGGACCTCAACAGAGGTCCAATGCTCAACAAGAAAAGGAAAACCTGAACAACGTGGCAACAACAACGACAACGACGACGACGACAACACAAAACGACAACACCAACGACAGCACCACCAGCAACAACAACCAGCACCACCATCAACACAGCATCAACATCAGCAACAATCACCAGCACCAGCACCAGCACCAGCACCAGCACCAGCACCAGCACCATCAGCAACAATCACCACCAGCACCAGCACCAGCACGAGCATCAGCGGCATCAGCAACAATCACCACCACCAACACCACCACCACCAACACCACCAGCACCAGCACCGGCACCAGCAACAATCACCACCACCAACAGCACCAGCACCAGCACCAGCACCATCAGCAACAATCACCACCTGCACCAGCACCAGCACCATCAGCAACAATCACCAGCACCAGCACCAGCACCAGCACCAGCACCAGCACCAGCACCAGCCACCAGCCGCCACCACCACCACCACCACCACCACCAGCAGCAGCAGCAGCAGCAAGAACAATAACAATCACAATAACAATAACATAAAGAATAGCAAAAACAGTAACAAGAGCAATAACAATAACAACAGTTATAGTTCACCACCACCACCACCACCAGCAACAACAACGCCAACGGTAAGAACAATAACCGTAACAAAACCATCATCATCACCATCATCATCAACAACAACAATTCTTCTTGCGCAACTGACCATGCCTCAAAAGAGACAAGCGATTAAACATGTAGGGGCGCATGTGTGCGGGCACACATTCATGTATTCATGTATTATGTATGTATGTGTGTGTGTGTATGCATGCATGCATGCATGCATGCATGCATGCATGCATATATGTATGTATGTAGGCATCTATGTATGTATGTATGTATGTATGTATGTGTGTATGTATGTATGTATGTATGTATGTATGTATGTATGTATGTATGTATGTATGTATGTGTGTGTGTGTGTCTGTCTGTATGAAATTTGTTCTGCGATACGAATTCACAGCGCAGCCAAATACGAGCTCATGCCAGGAACAGCAACTCAAGCCTGCTCTACGTAAGGCTTGGGGGACAAAGTGCCGCGCTTGATGGTTCGAAACTCCAACATGAAGTCGAGGATTTCCTGCGAGCTTGCGAATGTCAGGCTTCGCGCTGAATGGAGTGCGGTCATGGTAAAGCTGCACCAAAGCTTGGAATGATTTCGGTAGTGCTGACTGGTGCAGCTTGGCAACTGCTGGCGGCGGCACATGCGCGAAAGAGTTGACGTCCCATCGCTGTCCTGATCGGTCTTTTTTGCCGCCTCTGCCCAGCGACGAATTGCCTTGCCTCAAAGGAGTTCCCGTGTGCAAATAATCTGTATAGCTGCAGCTAAACGGGCTAAGCCACTGCTGCGATAGCACGGAGCTGGCCGAATCAACTAGTTACGCATAACAAAGGCACGGGCGATTATCATTGAGATCGTTGTCGTCATTGTCGTCATCATCGTCTTCACCATCACCGTCGTGGTCGTGCTGGTTCAACTGAATCATCATCGCCATGGCCATGGCCATCTTCATCATCACCGGCCCCTGATCCGATCCTCGGCATCCTCGTCCTCGTCATTGAAGGTAGACATCTTCTGAGTTCCGTGCGCCCAGCTGTCCCGGACTGGAAGAACACATCTGGATTTGCGCGCTCCTCTACTTGCAAACGTGGTGATATTTGTTTTTGCCTATCACACGCGCCGGGTTAAGTCAGGGACTCTAGCAGTCTAGCACAGCTTGATCTGCACCCTGGCACGCAGCTCCGGTGTCCACTTCTACAATACGGCGGTCCTCCTCGCTCAATGCAGCCACAAGTGCTTCCTGCCACACAGATGACCCAGGCTTATGAGGGCTTGAAGTGCAGAGTCGCCTATACATCCGGTAGGGGACCTTTGCTGGAGGAGGAGTCTGGGCTCTGCCTCCCGCCTTGCAAGGACGAGACTACTGAGCGCTTTGGGTTTGGCCTTTTTTTTGCACTTGTGCAACCACCTGAAGGTCCGAGCATACGGAGGTTCAGTCTCACGACTGCACTTCCATCACCGAAACTCCAAATCCCGAAGCCCTATAATCCCGAAGATCGGGCCTTTTCACCCAGCTGTGACTTGGCGTTCTCGATGTCTTCGTCTGCGCCGGCCTGGTTCTTCAGCCTTAGCTTCCGGAGGCCTGTGATGCGGGCCTTCTCTAGTAACCGCTCACCCTGTGCATGGAAAGGTCGTGTCCGGCGAGATGGCCAACCGAAAATAGGGTCCTTGATCATTTCAATTATTGGGGTTTTGGGGGGTCCCTTTTGAAACCGGACTTGATGGGGGTCCCTAAACCCTAAACCCTAAACGGGTGTCTTGAAGGGGGTTATCTGTTGCTAACTGCTCCGACCCATAAACGAAGCATGCTGGCTTTAGCAGGCTGGAGTCTGCGCAGCCGGATACTTTGTAAAATGCGAGTGAGCAAGGTAATAGAACGGCCTGAATAATTAGAATAGGGATTTGGGGGTCCATTATACGATAATGATAAGGAAACCCCGAAAATAGTAGAGGTAATTATTTCGGCCCTACATTATTCTTAAAGCAAGGCCCACACCCCGCCGCTCCTTCCAGAACGGGACTAAGTTCGGCACATGTTGGCCAAAGGCGCGACCTTGTGCGACGAAGAAAGAAACAAGAGACAGAGACAAACAGAGCGCGACATCGACATCAGTAGATCTCGGAACAGAGAGGGAGGATACCAAATACACGGACACATACAATCTTTAAATAAAGGCACATCTTATGCATATACGTATGTATGTTTCAGCACATCTGAATTGCACCTTTGTAAATGGACCCTGAACAAGTGCGGAGTCGTAGAATAATGAACCCTATAAAGTCCGAAACCGCGAGGACCGGGAGTTGTGAATTGTCGACCAAATGCAACCCCTCAACCCCAAAAACCTCAAATAACCACAAGCTCTCAATCCATGAAGAACAAAGAAAGGCCAAGCACTTTCGGAAAGAGGGCTCAATTCCACTATTAACCTGTATGTAATCACAAGACAAATCTTGGCCCATGTCACGATAAAAAGAGCTACGTAGGTAAGAAGCAACACTCGGCAAGCGTTAGCGCAGAGCGAAAAAGGGCCTGGAGTCCATCCTCTACCCTCTAAACACTGCATCACATACATGCAGAATATTCTCATATACCTACATGCACACACGCCCACATATATGTTGCAAAAACTCATTTGTAAATGTGAGTGTGTCTTTGGAATATATGGCGACACCCCAAAATCACAGTCCAGGCTTGGGAGGCTCAGGTTCCCGACGGCATCGCGAACCTCACCCAGTTTGCTGAACCTTGCGGCTTAGAGAGCACAGAAACCTCTTGCCCCTGAACCCCTAGAACCTTCTGCAGCTGGGACAAACCCCTTTTTTTCACGAGGGACTCGGCTGCTGCCCTACCTGGGACAAACCCTAAGCCCTAAACTCTTAAGCCCTAAATCACCCAACTTGCTGAACCTTGCAACTTGGAGAGCGAAGCTCTCTCAGTTGGATTCTGCCAGTGTATCCACATACATCTCTCTATCTATATGTGTGTGCATTCTTATATGTTGGTTCAGGGTCGGAGAACGGCCCCTGCGTACTGCTAGCTTTGCGATTCCGACCTCTAACCCATATATTTAGATCTAAGTAGAAGTGTTTACATGAACAGTATAAATAAATAAATAAACAAATAACTAACTAACTAAATAAATAAATAAATAAATAAATATATATATATATATACACAAGTGTGTATGTGTAAGTACTATGGGCTGTGTGATGTGTATACATATAGCTTAAAATAAATCAGTGTATATATATATATATATGTGTGTGTGTGCGTGTGTATATATGCAGATAAACAGAAACTGCTATACATTGTATGAACATAGTGTACACATCAAGATCATTCAAGCATATGTTCTCGGGTTTGAGGGAATGCGTCTCCGACCCTTGGCCATGTGAGGACATCTCAAGCGGCAGGCATCTTCATGAGTGTGAGGTAGTCATCCAAAGTGATGTTCCCCTTCTTGCCTCGGCGTGCCAAGAGATTTTGACAGCAAGGGGCCCGCCATCGAAGCAACAAGAAGAGGTCGACGACCGACGACGAACAGCAGGAGTACTTCAGTAACGCCGTAGCCAAAGGAATCTGAGCTATCGGCACTTCTCCATCAATGCCTCGCTCTCTTCCGCAGTCATCCCTGCCATCCAGCTTCTGGTTCGTTTGGCCCAAAATTAGCAAATCCTACCCTGCAGCAGGTAGGATCCCATGGCTATGGTATACAGTCTTTAGCATGAGCATGGGTCCACAGGAAAATTATACCCCTCGACACCCTGAAGCCCTACAGTAAACCGTAAAGCCCCGAATCATAAAGCCCAAAACTCCCTTAAACCCTAAGCCACCCAAAAGCTCCCAAAAGTTCCTCAAAGCCCTCTACGAAGGTGCCGTGACCGCGGCGCCTGAAGCAGCCTGCACGGCCTTGTCCGTCAGTGAGCTCTGAAGATCCTCGGCATAACCCCCAAGGAGACGCAGTCATTCGGGGTTAAGGGTTTTCAGCACTCACAACTAGTAAGGCAGGCGAGGATCCGAGTACCAGAACGACAAGCTCATGGGCTACCCCTAGCAGCATTGGCATAAGAGTCATCTTAGACACGTTGTCCAAGGCAAGTGAAACCGAAATGTCCACATCTCCGCAACGGTTTAGGGTTTTCAGCACTCACAACTGGGACAAGCCTGGCGAGGTTCCAAGTACGTCGACGATAGCACATTGGCCAAGGGCAGGC